ACTGTGGTGACAACCTCATATCATGGAGTTTAAAGAAACAAGGTTTTGTTTCTCGGTCAAGTACTGAGGCAGAGTACATGAGTCTAGCAAACACAGTGGCAGAATTAGTTTGGCTCCTTAATCTCATGAAAGAATTGAATATACACTCAGCACGAGTTCCAAGAGTTTGGGTTGATAACATGAGTGCCATTGCCCTTGCTTTAAACCCTATACAACATGCAAGAACCAAACATATTGAACTAGATCTTCACTTTGTTAGAGACATGATCTCAAAGAAGCTCATTCATATCTTTCACATTCCAACCTCTGAACAAGTTGCAGACATTTTTACCAATGCATTAACTTACCAATCCTTCTCTCAGCATAGAAACAGTCTCAAAGTTTTCTCTAAGGCCTCGATCGAATTGAGGGGGGTTGAAAGTCAACATAATGACTCACCACGCCGGCATAGAGTCCTCCTCACCAGCTCAGTAAATGAAACAACTCCATGCATCGTACCAGCTCCCACATGCACATATGCATGTTCTTTGTCCTCTAGCTAATATTGGGGTGTATGGTTTGTAATGGGTAGTAAAGTTATGAGCTGTATGATCTTGATTCATTTAGCATGTCCTAAGGTTGATCTAAACCGTAAGATTATATATATCAGATACTTTATAAAGCATTTGTAACCTACCTAAGTTTTCAAGTATGAGATTGTATCCTTATTTTGAGAAAAGAACTTGCAGCTGCATTAATGGCGATTGTGATTTGTTATGTCAATGTTTATATCATTTCACCAACAGGGGTTGGCTCAAGTGGTAAACAGCTTGATGTCGCTTAAGCAAGGTCTCGGGTTCAAGTCCTTGTGGATGCAGAAAACTCCTGTTGGGAGACTCACCCACCTCTGCCAGGTGTGCAACCCGGGTCGACCAACGGATTAGTCGGAACATAGCTCCGGATACCGTGGCTGGCTACAAAAAAAAATGTTTATATCATTTTCTTTCATTATGTAATTTGTATTTAATGTGAATTATTATTAGTTGGTCTTAGCATTAACGATTATATAATATAATTGTAAAAAATTACATGATTACACTTAATAGGGTATATTAAAGTGAAAGATAAAAAAAATATTAATGATAAATTTTATAAAATGAAATGAAGAGAAACCAAATAATTTTATTAAATATTTTATCGACAATTATATATATATAATTTATATATATATATATATATATAATTTTATCGACAATTATATATATATATTTATTTATATATATAGAGAAGGGATCATATGAGAATGATACTTAGTGAAAGAAAATGAGAATAAATCTGGACCATGAGATTAAACAAAGTAATGGTTAGGATTAAGTCAAAATATAGTCAATCATTAATGGCAACCTGGTAATTATTTGATCATATTGTGGTCAAGTATGTGTATTGACCAATAATTAAGGGTAGTTTGGACATTTAATTCAAAACCAACAATACTATGGACCCACCACTACACATTATAATATCTACATAAATATTACACCCCACCTACCCC